TCTCACCAAGTTAACTAATCAAGATCAAGAAGTTGTGTAACCTCACCTGAACTGATAAAGCATATTTGTGATGGAAGAGCCTTTGAAGCTTAGGATCTTGATTTTGAGTCCCAAAGACTCTTTTCTGTCTCAAACACATCTAGCATATATGAATTCACAAGAAATGGCTATCAAATGAAGATCAGAATTAATCCATTCTCAGGAAGGCTTATCTTCTCCCAGAAAGAGGACTGACTTTCAGAAATTTGTAACAAGAATTCACTGAATCTGGAAACAGGAATGGGCTTTTCAAAATATGGTAGGGCAAGAACAGATAAGACGTTCTTTTCATAATGCCACTAATGGATAGGAATCTTCCTCCTTAGTTAAGAGATAATTCAAAAGAGAATCAAAGTCATCAACTCACAGATAAATGGTGGGTGAAAACCAGATATGTGTTCCAGTAGCCCTTTTCTTTGGAATTAACCTAATTAAATGAGACTAGTTTCTCTTTAGAACAGGGGTCTTCAAACTTGGCCCTTTTATGACTTCTGGACTTCAACTCCCAGAGTTCCTCAGCCATCATGCTTGGCTGAGGAATTCTGGGAGTTGAAGTCCACAAGTCATAAAAGGGCCAAGTTTGAAGACCTCTGTGCTAGAGTTTTGACAGACATTTCAAAAAGCGTCTCAGGTTTTTTTTTTAAATCTCCATGCGCTTTTAGGGTGAAATGAATGTTTATTTCTAGTTCCTAAACACCCAAAAATAACTGTGAATTTTTAGTAAATCTTAATAAAGTGGATTGAGGAAGATTAGATCAATCCTTTATCACAAACCAAACTCGAAGTGATTTTATTTAAGGGTGGAATATAAATATTTTGAAACAGAACAGTATTGGATGTCACAGAAAATTTCTCCCACAATAAATGAATCAGTTCAAGGTGACATACAACTGTGCATTGTTTTTGCTAAAATGGAATAATATCACAAGCCCTTTGGTACACAATTCCTTACTGTGTTTCCTTCTCTTCTCATATTTGCTGCAGAGATGCTGTAGAGCAGCGGTCTTCAAACTTGGCCCTTTTATGACTTGTGGTCTTCAACTCCCAAATTTCCTCAGCCAGGCACGCTTAGCTGAGGAATTCTGGGAGTTGAGGTCCACAAGTCATAAAAGGGCCACGTTTGAAGAACCCTGCTGTAGAGAAAAAGGGGAACTGTTGCATTCTCCAACAAAATCATTGGATCCTTGTCAAAAACAGGGCCTAATTTCAAAGGACATTTTGAGTGAGAAGTAGAAATATAAAGAAAATGTTAGCTCCTTTAGCATACCAATTAATAAACCAAATGTGGTATGCTTCCTTTTGGTTTAAGGTCATTTCCAACCCAAGAAAGAGACTTGATTTTTAGGCTTCATGACAGGGACAAAGTTTCCAAAAGTAATAGCTGAAGCCAGGGCAAAAATGAAATAACATTGGCTTGGCTTTGTATTTAATTAAAATTAAGCACAGTTAGAATAAATACCTTCCAGCCCTATGTCTAATAATTTTCCCTTCACATTAAAATTTCCACTTTGGGTAAGACTTCTGGAAGTCTCTGGTGACTACAGCTGGCTTCATGGCCTGTGTGTAGCTCCAGAGCCCCAGAATGGCTTAACCACCATATGATGCATGAACCTAGCTATTGTTATATTAGTGTCTGGCTTACACATTCATGCACAAAGTGCATTCACACTGCCACAAAGAAGAGGGAGTTAAGCTATTCTCCAAAGCGCCTGAGGGCAGGACAAGAAGCAACGGATGGAAACTAATCAAGGAGAGAAGCAACCTAGAACTAAGGAGAAACTTCTTGACAGTTAGAACAATTAACCAGTGGAACAACCTGCCTCCAGAAGATGTGAATGTTCCAACACTGGAAGTTTTTAAGAAGAGACTGCACAGCCATTTGTCCAAAATGATGTAGGGTTTCCTGCCTGAGCAGGGGGTTGGACAAGATGACCTCCAAGGTCCCTTCCAACTTTATTATTATTGTTGTTGTTGTTGTTGTTGTTGTTGTTATTATTATTATTATTATTATTATTATTATTATTATTATTATTATTACTCCTAAGGCATATGCCTATGCAGTGTCTCATGAACACCTTATATATCCAAGGCTTAAAAATGCTCAAGTTTCATGGAAAAACTTAAAGCTGCCTTTTCGCTATTCATTTTTTTCTCTCAAAAGCATCCCCTTCCAACGCTTTTCACCCATGCTGGGATGGCAAGAAACTGCAGGAAGCATTTGCCATGGCAACCAATGATGTCACACTCCACTTGCCACTAGCTGTGGAACAGCCTGACTTAAGAAAGAGGTGGGTGCAGACTGAACAATCCTCCTCTTAGATTCCACGCAAAGCTTGTCTACACCCAGAATGGTCTGAAGTTCCAAACCAAAAAGCAGATGGTGTAATTCTGGGAATAACAAACAATTGTACCTCGACCTTCTTGCATCATCTCCATTCAAAGCTACTAGTTATGATGTCTAAAGTGAACTTCTCTATTCAGCACCAGTTGACTTTGGGGTCAAAGGGGGACAGCAGTTCCTTTCTGTGGTCTGGGGGCTTCTGAGAAGCAGCAAGTTGGCTATTGTGGGCTTGGATTGGAAGAAGCTATGGTCAGAAGAAGAAGGGCTCTTGTAACAGATTTGAAGGGGTCCATCAAGTTCTATTAGACAAGAAAACAAGGCTAAAGATATCAATGCCTGAACATCAGTTCCTCTCTGAGAAACAGTAGAGTATCTCCCTACTTGGGTCTGTGAGTTCCCAGAGGTGTCTGTCCAACCAAGAGGCTCAACTAGAGGGAGATTTCAGGAAGGCAGAGAGAAAGAAAAGAGACAAGAGTATAATTTGGGCAAATTCTTTCCTAGTTTCGTCAACTCTTAAATGACTGGAGACATCTTCGCCTGCAACCTCCACCCAGATTTGAGAACAACAACAACAGAAAAGGACTCTGGTCTTCTTGCTTGCTCATTGCTGTCAGGCCCATGTTTCTATCTTGTGGCTGAGATTGGTCTCTCAGCGACAGGCAAAATGTCACTGAAGCCCTTGAAGCTTTGATCTCTGAGGCATGGTTCCCCCCCCCCAGGGTTCTCAGCCCAGCAGTGAGGCACGTGAAATGCCAAGATAAATTTCTGTTGCTCTCCTATGAGTTAAATCAGGCAGGAAAGGGAGCAGAGGGGAACTGTCTGCCTTGTGCTCCTAGGAGCTGCCAAGGCCAATAATAGCAGGACTCTGCCCTTAAGGTAACTCAGTGGAAGCAGCTTGCTTAACCCTTGCAGAGCATTTTCTGGGTGACCAGAACTGCCTTGGTGGGTGATGAGAGCAAAGGTTCCTGACTTCCCCAGAGCAAGCAGGAAGGGGGCGATTTCCTCCCAGTTTATTTGGGGAGAAGATAAAAAGGCGTTACTTATGACCTTTACCCTGTGTGTCTATCATCTAGATCGTGGTTGTTCCAAAAGTGCTTTTCAAAAGGCATCTGGACTATCTTGGTTTTCCCCCCTGAAAATGTTTTGCTTCTCATCCAACTTCTTCAGAAAAGTTTTCAAAAGAAAAACCAAGAAAGGCCAGTTGTCTTTTGAAAAGCACCCTTGGGACTTTACCCTGAGTAAGAACAGTGCATTTAACAAGGACAGCTGGCTTAAATTCAGAAGCACTCTGCTAGAGATCAGGGAATTCTTTAGCAGTCTGCTGGTGGGGAGCAAGAGAGAGGCAAGTGGCAGAAAGAAGAATAAGAGAAGAAAGAAAATGTGATAATCTCACTCATATTCATCATTAATTTCACTCAACAGTATGGAGTTTTTGACAGATACATCATGATCAGTATGCTATAGGGTAGCTATAGGGTAGCAGTCGCCAACCTTTTGGGCATCAGGGATGGGTTTCATGGAAGACAATTTTTCCATGGACCGGGGGCAGTGGTGGGATTCAAATATGTGAACAACCGGTTCTCTGTGTGGACGCCGCTTCCGGAAGTCCATTCTGGGCCTGGGCAACAAAAAATTAGCTACCAGTTCTGCCAAAGTGGTGCGAACTGGCTGAATCCCACCACTGACTGGTGGTGGTGGTGATGGATGAAGAGGAGCATGCAACCTAGATCCCATACATGTACAGTTTGGCCCACCTGCCACTAACCTCCAGCTGTGTGACCCGGTTCCTAACAGGCCACAGACTAATATGGTCCGTGGCCTGGGGGGCGGGGGCGGGGGGGGGGTTGGGAACCTCTGCTATATGATATTTGGGATGAAGAAATCTATTTGGGCACTAGATGGCAGCAAAGAGGTGTAATTATCTGTATTTCTCAGCTGGTAGCTGTAAATAAACAGGGCTTTCCAATGAATGAGGCCTTTGAGGGGAAAAAAAGTTCCCATGTTGATTGACTATGGAGGCCTTGGTGCTCTCTAAGCTTGGTTGCTGGTTTATAGATGTTTTATCACCCAAATAGGTAACATAATTGATTCTCTGACAGAAGCAGATCCCCATCATTTCAGAGGAAAGATGTTTTTAAATGTGGGCATTCAGCTACCACTTGTCTCTCATCTTTGTCACAAATCTGCAAAATAGATTAGCCAAGCTTTCCCAACTAGGGCTTTCCAGATACACTGCACCCAAGCTTCCAAAAATCCCAACCCGATTTGTGCCTAGCATGTATATAAAACACAAATCTGGGATCTGAAGCTGAGGCTCTTCTGTCATTGTCACCGTCAAACATTTTAGTCAGGCTTGCTATACCATCCCACTGGCCCTGTGGATCTTCCAATTTTCTATTCCAGGAGTCTCCAAACTTGGCAACTTTAAGACTTGTGGACATCAACTCCCAGAATTCCCCAGCCAGCATGCAACCATTAACACTGATGATGATACCTAGTTTAGGTAATGAAATGTCTGCAAGAAAATAACCAAGCTCAGAGAGCATCAAGGACCCCTCCTTTTAACCTTGACTACAAATATTCTCCTTTGTGATGATACTCATTGTGTACATCCATCCAGGTTGACATCAGGGTTGTTATCACTGCCCTCTCATGGTGCCTGGAGGCTGTGGGAATCTGGATGAGGGACAACAGCCTGAACCATGGTAAGACTGGGTGGCTATCAGTACGTGGAGCTTCAGGAACTGGGAACTTAACATCTTTAGTTCTGGATGGGGTTGCACTGCCCCAAACAGACCCCGTGCACAACCTGGGGTTCTCCTAAACTCAGAACTCTTGATCACAGAGCAAATAGCAGTGGTGGCTAGGAGAGTCTTTGCACAACTTTGTGTTGTGCACTAGTTGCATCCTCTCCAGGATCATAAAGCCCTATGCTCAGTCACTCATGCCTTGGTTATCTCATGTTTGAACTACTGTAATCCACTCTACATGGGGCTACCCTTGAAGAGTATTTGGAAGCTACAGCTGGCACAGAATGCAGCAGTGAGTGGCCCACATAACACTCCTGTTGCATGAACTGTACAGATTGCTGGTTTGTTTCTTGGTCCAATTCAAGCTTGGTAATCAGCTGTAAAGCCCTTTACCGCATTGGGTCCAAGCTACTTGAGGAACCATCTCACACCAATGGGACTGGCCTGGCCCACTTTCTCCAGCAGACGGGGCATGCTGCAGACCCCAACGGCCAAGGAATTTCAGCAGCAGGGTCCAGAAGAGGAGTCTTTTCTGCCATGGCTCCCGCTCTTTGGAATATCATGAACCTCAAGGTGAGACCTATCCCCCCCCTTACTTTCTTGGCCTTCCAAAAGGATCTGAAAACCTAATTCTGCTGATTGGCTCGGGGCCCCAAAGTGCGTCCCACTCAGGAGGTGGTTAGTACATTAAGAAGATCCCACTTCCCTCCCCATTTATGTATTTGTTCTTTTCTTATCTAGTTTTTGTTAGCCTTTAATGTTTGAATTTTCAATGTCTTTAATGTGCTCATTGTTTTATATTGTTGTTTTATGATGTGGTAAGCCGCCCAAAGTCACTTGACAGTGAGGTGGGCAGCATATAAAAGTAATAAACAAATGTGTATTTCTAGAAGTACATCATTCAGCCTGATTTTAGCATTTTAGTCAGCCCTGACTATTGAACAGTTTCAATTATCTAAAGTTATTGGCATTTAAAAATATTGCTGTATATACAGCTTCAGGGCTCTGCCTGCTTTGTGTGTGTGTGTGTGTGTGTGTGTGTGTGTGTGTGTGTGTGTGCTTTAATGAACAAATAGCAAAGGACTGAAAAGGATGTGTTCCTGGTGAATATTTACAGAGCAAATATTTTGATGACTTAGTAGGATACATGATCAAAAAATAGTGGATATCAGAGAGCACAAGAGCTGGCTCAGCCACCCTCTCATCTTAACTGAAGTGGCCAAATCTTCCCTATTTCGCTGCTACCCCAGAAACACTGGATTGCACCAAACTCTCAAAGCCACGAAAAAACCAGGAATTTCCTTCCCATTCCTCCAGAATCCCAGCATTTTTCCCTTAGTGGGGAATGCCACAACATTCCCTGCACTTCTGTATGCTCTGTGGCTTTCACCAATTTCTTTCAAGGCGTGTTGTTCATTAGGGCGCAGCCCCGATGGGGAGGAAGCCCCATCAAACCCAGAGACGGCGGAAAGCCACCCAGCGTTTGGAGACAGCCAGAGGCACCCCGATCCCGCCGCCCAACGCAGGAGCCAAGCGGGGATCAAGCGGAAAGAAGAGGACGGAGTTGCTTTTTTTCGCTGCAGCTCACCAGCGCCCCTTACCGCCAGTCGTTGGGAACGTCCGGCCGGCAAGAAACACGCCCCGCTTTTGCAACCTCGTTCTCCCGAGCTCTTCCCGGCGAAAAGATGCACACGCTGGTGGACACACTCGCCCACCCAGCCGCCTTCTCAGTGTCTTCCTTGCACAATCGCCTTGTGTCGCCCCCCCCAGTCAATTGTGCCCCCTCCCTCAAGCACACCCTGTAAAGCGCAGCAGGTCGGTCTGCAGAAAAGAGACAAGGAGGCTGCTGGGGCGCCCAGAGGCTGGTGGTCTTCAGCCAGGAATCAAGGGAGATCCTTTCCTCCCTGGCGTATCTACAAAGGGCTCCGGTTTTCTTAGCTTCTGCCACATCTGTACCTGCCCGCGATGGATCTCCACTCCCGCCCTTCTCACCTGCAGCCCTCGGCGCCTCAAGATGCTGGATTCGTCCATGCTGCCTCCTCTTCCTGCTCCTGCTCCTCCTCCATGCCTCTCCGAGCTCGTCCGCAGGGTAGAAAGTGGTCCCGACGCTTGGAGGAGAGGCCGAGCCGTGCGGGAGGCGGAAATCCCCCGGTCTGCATTGGCTGGCGGGGAATCAGCTGATCTGATCTTTCCCTAGTCGAGAAAACGAGATTTGGAGCTGCCGGCAAGTCAGTCGAGCCCTGCAATAACTAAGGGGGAAGCGACACAGACAGGCGCGAGGCAGGCTAGGGATTGAGAACTGAGATTCCCAAGGATCACAACCATCAGAATCAGAATAGAGCTGGAAGGACCTTGGAGGTCTTCTAGTCCAGCTCCCTGCTCAAGCAGGAGACCCTATACCATTTCAGACAAGTGGCTTTCCAGTCTCTTCTTAAAGAGCTCCAGTGATGAAGCACCTACTTCTGGAAGCAGGTTGTTCCACTGGTTAATTGTCCTCACTGTTAGGAAGTTTCTCCTGAATTCCAGGTTGCTTCTCTCCTTGATTAGTTTCCATCCATTGTTTGTTTTCTTGCCTTCTGGTGCTGTGGAAAATAAGTTGACCCCCTCCTCTTTGTGGCAGCCCCTCAAGTATTGGAATACTCCTAACATGTCACCCCTAGTCCTTCTTTTCTTTAGACTAGCCCTACCCAATTCCTGCAACTATTCTTCATATGTTTTAGATTCCAGGGTTTTAATCGTCCTAGTTGCTCTTCTCTGCACTCTTTCCAAAGTCTCAACACCTTTTTTTGTAACGTGGTGACCAAAACTGGATGCAGTATTCCAGGTGTGGTCTTACTAAGGCTTTATAAAGCGGTATTAATACTTAACGTGATTTTGATTCTATGCCTCTGTTTATGCAACTAGGGATTGTATTAGATTTGTTGGCTGTGGCTGCACACTGCTGGCTTATATTTAAGTGATCCTCCACCAGGACTCCAAGGTCCCTCTCACAGTTACTGTTTTTGAGAGAGGTAGCTAAAGATATCTCAGAGCCGGGTGATCCTCTTTTTGCATCAGTGGGAACCAGGGACTGGTAAGGACGCTGATAGAGAGTTTAACCTACTGGTTAGAGATGTTGGGTTCTTAGCAATAGCATTTAGATTTATATACTGCTTCATAGTGCTTTACATCCCTCTAAGCAGTTTACAAATGTCAGCTTATTTCCTCCAACAATCTGGATCCTCATTTTACCAATTTCGGAAGGCTGGAAGGCTGAGTCAACCTTGAGCCCTTCAGGATCGAACTCCTGGCAGTGGGCAGAGTTAGCCTGCAATACTGCATTCTGACCACTGTGCCACCAGGGCTCATTCTTGAGACATAATAGCCAGTTGGTTGATTTGAAGCTACTTGATTTTTCTCCAACGCTAGGAAGAAGGCAATGGTAAATCCCTTGTGACCAAGGAATCAGCATGGACTTGTCTATGTAGTTATCAGGTGTTAAGATTGCCTCAAAGACACGCACACATACACACACACAAAATACATAAAGAGAGAAAAAGTATGGAACTGAATATAGTTTAAATATGTTAAATAAGGAGAGTAAGAGACTGGGTATGTGTTCTGAAGAAGATTCAGAAAAAGGATCCAAATGCAGGTACTCTGCGACTTAAAACCCCAACTGAGCCCAAATTTTCTCTTGCTAAGTGAGTTGTTAAGTGAATGTTGTCCCATTTTACAATCTTTCTTGCCACAGTTGCTAAGTGAATCACTGCAGTTGTTAAGTTAGTAACATGGTTGTTAAGTGAATTTGGCTTCTCCATTGACTTTGCTTGTCAGAAAATAGCAAAAAGTGATCACATGACCCAGGGATATTCAAACTGCCATAAATATAAGTCAGTTGCCAAGCATCCAAATTTTGATCATGTGACCATGGGGATGCTGCAACAGTCCTGGGTCGCTTTTTTCAGAGGCGTTGTAACTTTGAACAGTCACTAAACCAGGGGTAGGCAATCTTGGCTCTTTGATGACTCATGGACTTCAACTCCCATAATTCCTCAGCCAGCCATGCTGGCTTAGGAATTCTGAGAGTTGAAGTCCACAAGTCATCAAAGAGCCAAGGTTGCCTACCTTGGCACTAAACCAATGGTTGTAAGTCAAGGACTACCTGTATACTGTAGCTTTGTGTGATTGCACAATATATCACAATCCGAATTTGATGGTTTGAGATTACAATTTCTAATATTGTAAGACAGCATAGCCAATGAGAATTGCAGCCTGAATACAGATGAAGGGCAGTAGAAGGAGGGAAGTTGGTTTAGAGTCAGACTCTTGGTGAGCTGACTTAGCATAATGCAGTTTCGGTTTCCAACTCAAAAGCCATCATTTTGAGGAAATGTCTGCCTTCTGAGATCAGATAAGAGCTGCACATTGGTCTTTCAGTAGCCTTCTGGAAATGACAATTACACACACACACACACACACACACACACACACACACACACACCTCCAAATTGTCAGCTCAGGCCAAAGCCCAAGTTTGTTTAAGTTAACAGAACAGAAAAACAGAGTTGGAAGGGACCTTGGAGGTCTTCTAGTCCAACCCCCTGCTCAGGCAGGAAACCCTATACCATTTCAGACAAATGGTTGACCAGTGTTAAAAATTTCCAGTGTTGGTGCTCATGTATTCAACCTCTTCTGATTCTTTGTGACATCATTTCACCAAGACTGTCTGTAACTTGTTTTATTTGAGTTCTCATAAGCTCCTGCTTGAGTCATCAGCCATAGTATCTACCTCCCTTTCTGTTGGATTCTTTTTCAGTTGCCTTACATTTTTTCCAAGCCATAGGATCTTCTCCAATGACTCTTGCTTTTTTTCCCTGTGTCTAAAGTATCTAAGCTTTAGTTTCATTCTTAGTGCTTCCAGTAAGTAGTGTAGTTTTAGTATTGATTCCAGTATTTAGTATTTTTCTATTTACTGTACTTATTAACCTTCCCAATCATTGTACAACAAACTTAAAACTCTCTGGACACTGTACCGGTAGTCCTTGACTTACAACAATTCATTTAGTGACTGCACTGAAAAAAGGACTTGTGATCATTTTTCACATTTAATGACCATTGCAGTATCCCCGTGGTCATGTGATCAGAATTCGGATGCTTGGCAACTGGTTCATATTTATGATGGTTGCAGTGCCCGGGGTCATGTGATCAGCTTTTGTGACCTGCTGACAAGCAAAGTCAATGGAGAAATCAGATTCACTTAACAAGTGTGTCACTAACTTAACAGTTATGGTGATTCACTTAACAACTATGGCCAGAAAGGTCATAAAATAGGACAAAACTCAACTAATGTCTTACTTAGCAACATACATTTTGGGCTCAATTGTGGTCATACGTCGAGGACTACTGGTGCAGCAAAAACAAACAAACATTGATTATTTGTTCTTATCTAGCTAAGGTCATCTTAAAAAATTCCTAGCCCCACAAAATTCTGGAGACTGTGAGTTCTAGTCCTGCCTTAGGCATGAAAGCCAGCTGGGTGACTTTGGGCCAGTCACTTCACAAGATTATTGTTGTAAGGAAAACAGGAGGAGTAAGGAATATTAGGTATATATTTGCCGCCTGGAGTTACTTGTAAATTTAAAAATGCAGGATAAAAATCAAATAAATAAATAAATTCAAAGGCGCATGCAGTTTTTCTAATGACCCAGCTTTCTAGCCTTATGTTACAATTCAGAAAACGATAGCCTTGATAATGCATGCCTTTTTGATAAGTGCAATGTCTCTGCACTGCACTTGACTACAATTTCACAGTCGCCCAAGTAGTAGATTTGTTTTCATTTCATAGCTACAGTTGCCACCCCTGACAATTTTTGAGACTAAGGAAATAAAAGTCTGCTACTACTGCCTGCTGACTGTAGTCGGTTGATGTTGTCAACTGACATATTAGATTAACCAGCCAACTGACATTTGTACTCTTTCTATATCTTCCGTGAGAGATTCCTTGAGTCTTCCTTGTTTTCAGCTGTTAAAGTGGTATTGTAGCATTTCTGGGGTTGCTGATGTGTCTCCTGGCAGTTTTAATTTCAGTGGCTTGCAGTTCAGCCTTTTTCATAATATATTCTGCATGTGTTCAATTAGTAAGTGGGTGTTATACAACCCTGCTGCACTCCTTTCTAAGTCTGAAATGTTTAATTCTTCCATATTCTTAGTCTCAAGTGGCAAAGGATCAAAAGAGTCTGGCAGCCCCTAGAAATTTAATTTAGAAATGGAATATTTTAAACGAATTATGTTATTTGAGGGAAATAGAGAGGAGACAGTGAATGTATTGAGTTGAGTTGTTCATTTATGTTTTTACTTTGGAATGTCTGATTACCCAAACACCACGGTGTGCCCTGAGTACTTTTTCTTAAAAATTAAAAAAACAATAAAATATTTTCAAAAAAAAAGGAGGCTGGCAGCCCCTTTTCTAAGTAATAAATTTAGACAGAAAAGGCTTCAATTTAAAGGCATCAGTTTTCATAAACTGTAATTCATCTGATCAGATATATTTAGTGACTAGACTATAATTGTTGCTTGCTGGCCATCATATATCATCATATTTTTTTGTAAACTGATGAAGTGATGCAAGACCCATATTTGTTGTGGTCTATGCAGTAAAGAGGGCTAGTATAATCAATAAGGCAAAATAGATAATTTGGGGAGCTCCTTTCTCTTTTCTATTACTGCTTGGATGTTAGCAATGTGATCACAGGTTCCCCAATGCTTCTGAATCCAGCTTGTAAACCTAGCAGTTCTTATTCTTTATACTGCTTTTTTAAGGTCCTGATTGCATTTTTTTGAGTATTATCTTATTAACTATGAAATAAGCACAGCTGTTGTCTATGGAGATTCTCAGTCATCCAGGTCATGGTTGTCCCAAAGGTGCTTTTTCAAGCAGCAACCGGACTTTCTTGGTTTTCTTTGAAGATATTTCACTTCTCATCCAAGAAGCTTCTTCAGAAGCTTCTTCAGCTCTGACTGGATGGTGGGGAATGGAAGGATTTATACTCCTTGCAGACAGCTGGTCATTTGCATTCTTTTATAGAGTCGTTGGGGCCACTTGGAGGTTTGTCCATGTCCTCAGGGTCAACTGGGTAGTGCAAAGGAGTGTGGAGCCTTGAAACCTCTTCAAAGAAAAATAAGAAAGTCCAGTTGCCTCTTCAAAAACTGTCTTTCAGACAAGCACAGTTGTTTGGTAGTTTGAGCATTGAAGGTGAAGATTCCTTCTCCGAGTTTGTGGGTTGGTTTCCAAATGTTTCGTTACCAGGCTAGGTAACATCTTCAGCGGAATTTAGGGGATGTCAGTGTTGGTGTTCTTCTATTTATAAGGGCTTCGTGTGGTCAGTGGATCTTGTGATGGGTTAGGTGTGGGTGTGTCAAGTGAGGGTCTTGGGATGGGTCTTTAGTGTTTTTAGTACTTCACTAATGTTCTTAGATATTAGAATATCAATTGATCCTTTCCATCCCTTGATCACTGCCGTGTTTTCTATACTTGCCAACAAACTGTAAGTAGCACTTCATCTGGACTTCTTGTAAGAATAGCTACCGCTTTCTTTTTAAATGCAGGTAGTCCTTGATGTACAACCACATTTGGGACCGGAATTTCTGTTATTAAGCAAAGTGGTTGTTAAGTGAAGTGCGGTTGGTTTTACAACCTTCTTTGCCATATTCATTAGACCAGGGGTAGGCAACCTTGGCTCTTTGATGACTCCTGAACTTCAGCTCCCAGAATTCCTGAGCCAGCATGGCTGGCTCAGGAATTCTGGGAGTTGAAGTCCATGAGTCATCAAAGAGCCAAGGTTGCCTACCCCTGCCTTAGACGAATCACTGTAGTTTTAAAATAAACCAGGTAGTTGTTAAGCAAATTCAGCTTCTCCTGTTGACTTTGCTAGTCAGAAGCTGGCTGGGAAGGTTGCAAATGGTGATCACATGACCCAGGATGATGCAATTTTGATCACTTGACCATGGGGATTCTGCAATGGTTATAAGTGCAAGGAGTTTTTCAGTGCTGTTGCGAATTTGAACAGTCACTAAATGAAGAGTTGTACATTGAGGACTATCTGTATATTTTCTAGGCCCAATTTAACTTCATTTCACTTTCCAGGATGTTCATCTCTAGTTCCAGGGGTGCCCACAGTGTATAGTTTAAAAAATCAAAATGTGTGATGGATATAAACAACAGAACTTCATTTGCACCATTGTAGCTGACATCTTTGTCTTTTTTTTTAACCATACCCTGTGGATATCTTATCTAATTCAGTGTTGGAGAGCAATTGTCCCAGTCAGGAGGAAGGCTTAAGTGGAGAATTAGTCTTGCCCTCTTGTGTTACATAAACACAAGAGGGCAAGGTCTGACCCCCTCCTTTCACAATTGTCTTTGAGCTTTATCTAGTCTTTCCCAGGTGAGAGCTGCCAGTCTAGGGAGAATCCTGTAAAATAGGCATACAACAATAAAGTAGCTAGTTTGAACTCTACATGTATGGGTCTGGCTGTTTGTTCTTGATATTCAATGACAAACCTTTATGTGTATCGAGATCTTTTGCCCAGTTTCATTTATTCCAATCATTCATTCTTCATATCTCCATTTTTGTCTTCTTTGATTTTTTATGATGCTCATTTTTGCATAAAGTTTATTTACTTTATTTATTTATCAAATGTATATGGCCACCCAGCTCATGGAAAGTGACTTGGGTAGCGTAAAGCTTCCAACAAGTAGTTACAAAGTCATATATGTTCCTTTCCATGGAAGTCTTTAGTAAAAGATGAAAATTTTATATGATTCAAAGAGAAACCAGAGTATATGTAATGTTTCCCTCGATTTCTCTATTTTTAAAGTTCTTGTTTTTCCCATTCAACTGTTGGCCTCAGTTTCTTTGCATTGCTTGTGTAGATGTAGATTCCCCGTCGCTTCTTATTCTCTGCAACTCAGTGTTTGACTGAGTAAATTGTTCTCTGTCTTAGATGCCTTTTCTTTCTGTCATTTTTTTTTTCAAATATTTTCAACAGGTCAACAGCTATTTTGCCTTCTTTTGTTTTTTATTGATTTGTTTCAGGATGTTTCTTCCATTTTGATGATGTCTTGAATTTCATTTCAGGTTTCTTCAAGCATTTTATTTATCAAATCCAGTCCATTAAATCTATTTTTAATCTTCATCATATATTTATTTTTCTTTAGTTTCACTTCCAGCCCTCCCCCCCAAATAGCACGTGATCTAAACTGGAATTAACACAGGTCTTGTTTTTGCTGACAAAATAGAAATTTTCCATCTCTGCTCACAGAGTATATAGACAGTTTGATTTTGGTCTTGTCTAACTGATTATGTCTGTGTAGAGATGCATCTTCTAGATTGCTGAAAAAGGGTATTTGCCTTCAAAAATTTGAATTTCCCCAATCTCCTGGCCTTTGGAAAATATCTGGAAACCTGGCTCTATCATCTTGCTTGGGGCTCATGGCAGAGCACACAGCTGTAGAGCTGGTTAGTGCCCTGAATTGTACATTCAGTTTTTAATGTTTTTAACATGTTATTTGCTTTTAAATAACACTGCCCAGGGTCTCTGAGTGGAAGATGGGAGGTTTCTAAATGTCATTAATAGAGATAGATAGTAGGTAGGTAGGTAGGTAGGTAGGTAGGTAGGTAGGTAGGTAGGTAGGTAGGTAGGTAGATAAATAGTTAGATAGATAGATAGATAGATAGATAGATAGATAGATAGATAGATAGATAGATAGATAAGAAAGAGGGAGGGTGGGAGAGATCTCCTGCTTTGCTTTCTATTCTACATTAAATTTCCCAATTATACTAGTTGTTTTTACTTCCAATTTAGAATGAGGATCTTGTTTTTCTGTCCCGTTGAGCCGTTTCCTGGCACTATTTGCTCTGCTGACATTTGTTTCAGTGCCTGGCAATGTCACTAAAGCTGCTGGGTGACTCATTTTGGGTGTGTGGTTGTGCTCTGTCTGGAGATGAAACAGCAGTGATCACTGAGATGCTTTGTTCTTGCTGTGCCCCTGCAGAAATCAAAGCCTCTGTCTAGGACCCTTCAACCTGACACCATCCCAAGAACAGATCTCTCTGTCCAACCCAGCCTGTAGCTCCAATCCTCCTGGAACATTGCTCCTTCCTTGGTTGAGAGGTTGGTCTCCACTGATGAACAGCAACAATACTCAGTTGTGTCAACTAGAAAGCTGCTGGTACTAGATCAGTATTATTTATCTCTGGAGTAGGGAAGGAGAAAAACAGAAAAGTGACTTGGGGTCCTTTGAACATTATAAATGGTACTTTTGACTTCTTTTTTGTAAATCTGTTTCTAATTGTGTGTTTTTAACAAATGCCCAAACACACATCAAATACTGTATTTAAGAAAAGCTCACATAATGTGCCACAGACATAAATAATAAATTGTATCCTCTGTCAGCAATATTGCATGCAACAAAAACAGAAGATGGAGAACTGCAAAGTAATTTATGTTATATGCAGTTTTTAAAATTGATGGCTGTAAGTAAAAAGCAACGGGAAAAAACAAATAAAAAGGGGAAAGGAACAAAATATATACAAATAATTATATGCATACATCCTAGTCTCATCGTTAATTCATCTATGTTGTTATTGTTCTTTTTAAAAATGAATTAGTATTGCTATTGCTGTGGCATAAGCTTTACAGAGGTGGGTGGAAATGAGCTTTCAAAAGATGGGATTTAATATAATATTAAGAGTTATTTTTAATGTGTCTTTTATTCTTGTTTCTTTCTCCTTTCTGTGACCACTAATTGCTACTTCAGTAGTTTTATACTAAGCTTTAAACTTCAAGGATCATTTCTCATTTCTGTTTGGATTGTTTTATTTTTAATACAGTTTCTCTTTTTTTTTCAAATACCAAATTCTACATATTTTAACTGGCCTATATGTTAGATTTAAAAGAATTTGCTTGAATTTGATTAGACCTGTTATGAATATTTTCATATCCTCTAGTTTTGGTCTTCCAAACATATAACCCCAGGAAGATTTCTCTTTTCTAGTGTTATGCCAGATTGATTCTTGCCATTGTTAGAGTGTTTGTATGATCGTGCCAACCCACTGTGTTTAAACTGGGTAAATGACAAATGCAATTTAAATCCTCAACTTACAACCACTCATTTAGTGACCATTCTAATTTACAACACCACTGGAAAAAAATGACTTATGGCTGTTGTTCACACTTACAACCGTTGCAGCATCTCCATGGTCACCTGATCAAAATTTGGACGCTCGGCAACTGACTCATACTTATGACGGTTGCAGTGTGCTGGGGGTCATGTGATCTGTCTGTGCGACCTTCTGACGAGCAAAGTCAATGGGGAAGCCAGATTCACTTAACAACTGTGTGAGTAACTTAACAACTGCAGTGATTCACTTAACAGCTGTGGCAAGAAATGTCATAAAACGGGACAAAACTCACTTAACAAATGTTTCCCTTAGCAACATAACTTTTGAGCTCAATTGCGGTCATAAGTCAAGGACTTACCTGTAATTCACTTTCAATTCAATTTACCCTTAGGCAAGCGCAAAGTAATATTTGATTAATTAAGTGCCATCAAATCAATAACCACTCTTAGTGACACGCAGATTATTTTCCATGACAATCTGTCTTTAGTCTTTCAGGTCTTCCAACAGACACCCCCCCCCCCAATCTCCACTATTACTGAGTCCATCCGTCTTACTGCTGGCCACCCTCTTCTTTTTTCTTCTACCTCTCCCAGCATTAGAGCCTTTTCCAAAGAGTTGGGTTTTCACATAATGAATCCGAAGTAGAATAATTTGAGCCTGGCCATTTGTGCCTTTTTATCAGACCTTCGGGAATGGGTTATACCAGAGGTCCCCAACCATGACAACTTTAAGACTTGTGGACTTCAACTCCCAGAATTCCTCAGCCAGCTTGGCTGGCTGAGGAATTCTGGGAGTTGAAGTCCACAAGTCTTAAAGTTGCCAAGGTTGGAGACCCCTGGGTTATATGCTGAGACTAAAACCTCCAATTTCACATATACGCTAACAGAGCTTGAGCAGTCCGCATCTACTCAGGGGAGAGATCTCAGGATCACAGTGAATAACTTCAAGAAGATGTCAGCACAGTATGCAGCAACTGCAAAAAAAAAAAAAAAAAGGACAAATGTTATGCTAGGAATCAGGAGTATTTGTGCTGGTGTCTTCAAATCAATGTCAACTCCTGCTGACTGCCTGGACAGGTCTGTGCAGTTTTCTTGGTAAGATTTCTTGCAGAAGTGATTTGCCATTGCCTCCTTTTTAGAGCTGAGAGAAAGTGACTGGCCCAAGGTCACTCAACTGGCTTTGTACCTAATTTGTGGAACCAGAACTTACTGTCTCTCAGCTTCTAGCCTTTTGCCTTAATCACAACACCAAACTGGCTCTCTCTTTCATCAGGAATGGGACCAAGAATAAACATGCTATCACTCTAATGTTCTTATATGAATATAGGGGATATCCACATCTGGGATGCTGTATACAATTCTGATTGCATACAATTCTATTGTAAGGATACAATAGAGCTGGAAATGTGCATAAGAGGGCAACTGACATTAAGAGCAGGTGCAAACACCTTCCAAAAGACAAGCTAATTCTTTTGGAATTATTTAGTTTGGGGGAAAAATTGAAGTGGGACATGATTAAGGGCTATATAATCACGCAGAGATGAAGGAAATTAATTGGGAGAGATTTATCTTAATAATAATAATAATAATCATAGGCTCCTTGGGTGTAATCCCAAAACAACTGGAGCACCACTTGAACACCATTGGCATTGACAAATTCGCTATTAGTCAATTGCAAAAGGCGGTCTTATTAGGAACTGCTTCCATCCTGCGACGATATCTGTAATACCATCAAACATCCACATCTGCCTATCCCAGGTCCTGGGTAAGGACTCGATAGGTAGACAAAATGCCAAATCCAGTCTGAACATCTGGCTGACTGTGTGATGATCGATAATAATAATAATAATAATAATAATAATAATAATAATAATAATAATGTTGGAAGGGACTTTGGACATCATCGAGTCCAACCCCCTGCTGTAGGGAAGTTGATTGGAAGGAGATTTAGAACAGAAATCACTCTGTTTCACAGTTTAGAATTAAACTCCAACATTCATTCCCTCTAGATGCAGTGACAGATGGCTGCCAACCCGGATGATTTTAAAAGATAATTGGATAAATTCATGAAGGACAGGCCTATCAAGGGCTATGTGCTGGACCAGTATGTAACCATCTGGCCAGAGCATATATTAGCTTAAGTACTATGTTAGAGCATTTAGCATTTACAGGGTTAATGTTGTATCCTTAAAAGAACTGTATGTTAGAGTATTTAGCATTTCAAGGGTTAAACACTGTTTCCTTAAGAGATGGCTTATGGGGAATGTAGTTCAGGTATTAGTTAATCCTGTAGCTTATCTAGACAATGGGAGGAGTTAAAAACTTATTGCAGGACATCCTGTTACGTGCCAGGGTTGTAAAATCCCTTTGTACATGCATGGAGGGCATCTGTAACCACGTTCAGCTGATATGGAGAATTATCACTTTTTATCTATGAAAATGGACAAATATGCAAGACCGGATGTATCTACAGCATAGTAAGTCTTTGCTTAGAATTCCTGGACAATAAATATTTGTTTTAAAATCATTTTCATTGAGTTTATGCTATCTGGACCAGAACTACAAGGCATCTTAGTTCAGGTTCCAGAATAGGCTATTTGTCTTGATGTTTGAATGCTCCTTTAAGGGGATGGGGGCAGCATGCTTCCAATTTCAAGGGGCAACAGTGGGAAAGGAAGCATTTTTCTTGCCCTCAAGCACCAGAGAGGTAACTGTTTAGCTAAGCCAGAAAACAATTGACAGGAGCAAAGGATCAGGACCATATGTTTAGTTGCAACATAGAAGTTTCTTTTTTTATTATTATTATTTACTTTTATTTATTTATAACATAAAATGTGAAAATACAAAAGCAAATAGTAGGGGACAACAGTAGAAAAAAGGAAAACGAAAAAGGTGTGAAGAAAGGGAGGGGAAGAGACAAGCGGGATCGACTTCCGATTCTCTCTGTTGCAGTAAAATCAGACATTAAAATCAAATCTCAACTTTTTACATTTTGTAGTGGTATGCACTAACCCAGTGGTGGCGAACCTATGGCACGCGAGCCAGAGGCGGCAATCAGAGCCCTCTCTGTGGGCACGTGTGCCGCCGCTGCCAGCACCTTGTGCAGCTCCATTAGGCTGCTGCTGCCACCCGGGGCGGCAGCTGCACCCAGCACAAAGGAAGCGAAGTGGCCAGCTAGCAAGCTCGAGTAGAGGTGGTAGAGCCTGCCCACACCCAGCAAGCCAAAGGCCACCCCAAGCAGGGAAAGCCAGATCCTCATCGGCGCCATGACCCCCCAGTCCCAACTAGGATTGCATGCCTCCCCCCATCTATACTGGGCCTCCTGCTGACCGCCCCACCCACCAGAGACCCCCTGGATCTCCCCCAACCCTGCCTGGACCCACAGGCGTCCCCCCCATGAGCAGCATCGAGGTGGCCATGCCCACCCCAGCCACGCTCACCCAGTCTGCCATGACAATCGCAGCCATGCCCACCCAGTGGGCCACACCCCCATGCCCCCCTGAGGACACCACAATGCCCTGGCACTTTGCGATAAATAAGTGGGTTTTGGGTTGTGGTTTGGGCACTCGGCCTCTAAAAGGTTCGCCCTCATTGCATTAGCCATTTCTGTATCGGCAAATCAGTCTAATCGGTAAAACCCAAAATCATGATATCATTTTTTTCCACTTCAAGTACAAAGTCCAGAAGCAGTTTCCAAGTAGAAACAAAAGTTCTTACATTCTTTTCTTTTATCAGCATAGTCCATTTGGCCATCTCTGCTAATTCCATCAGCTTTTATAACCCTTCGTCCATGGTAGGAATCGAGGCATCTTTCCACTTTTGTGCAGAGAGCAATTTTGCTGCCGTCACCATATATAAAATCAGAGTTCCAATTTTTTTTCCCAGTTCTCTTTCCATTAGGCCCAGAAGGAAAGTTTCTGGTTTAATCTTTATGTTCACTTTATGAAGAAGAGTCATTTGAGCCTATATACAAGAATCTAGTCAACTGCAGGTTGTCCTTGACATGTGACCACAACTTAACCCAATATTTCTGTTGCTAAGCAAGATGGGGGGGTTGCCTTATTTTACAGCCTTTCTTGCCACAGTTGTTAAGTGAATCACTGCAGTTGTTAACAGTATCATGGTTGTTAAGTGAATCTGCCTTCCCCATTGACTTTGCTTGTCAGAGTCACACAAGGGGATCACATGACCCTGGGACACGGTAACTGTCATAAATATGAGTCAGTTGCCAAATGTCTGAATTTTGAACACATGACCATCGGGATGCTGCCATGGTGCATGTGAGAAAAGGTAATAAGTCAGTTTTTTCAGCGCCGTTGTAACTTCGAAAGATCATTAAGCGTAAGTTGAGGACTATCTGTAACAGCGCTAAATTGGTAAGGACTCTAAGCTGATGACACATTTAATTCCGCCTCTCAGCTCTGCATTCTCCTGCATGTATAAATATAATAAATGAATAAACATGAGCTACCCAAAGTTGCTTGATAGTGAGATGAGTGGCATATAAGTTTAATAAATAATACATTAATAGATTAATAAACAAAGTGCGCCATTGGCTGATATGGTCTCTTGTAGTTCCAGTGGACCAATATATTCTCCCCACCAAGAACACAAGTGAATAAAACTGTTTTCCTCCCCCCCCCACCCCGGTAATTGGGACAGGAAAGTGTGGGAAAATCTGACTCACTTCAGCTACTCACCCCATTTCTGACCTAGATAAGACGTTTTGCAAAGACTGACAAATTCGAGGGATGTGGCTTTCTATCCACTACAAGGTGGGGCTTCCCCCCACTCTTGAAAAAAAAACACTAGTGTAAATTGAGAAAATGTTTTCCTTTTCTTACCAAAGGAAAAACATTGATTATTACAGGAATCTTTCTTCTGCTTTCTTAAAAGATAACACTGAGAACATAAAATTTGTTATCTCTGTGTTTTTTCACAGAGTACCCTTTGTTTTATCTTCCAGATAGCTCAAGATTAACCTGGTATATAAGCAAGGTTGGGAAAGAGAAGATTATAAAATATGAATGCAGTTGAGTATTTATAATACATTTGACCAGAGCATGTAAAGAACTGACTAGTTTATTAGCACATGATTGGCTTGATTAGTTTTTTGTGGCTTAGCATGTTGTGTGAATCCAGTCCCTTTGGTTAATGGCTCCATGTGTTGTGCCACCACAGAATTCAGCAACCAGGCAAAGTATATATTATGACTGCAGCTTACAAACCATGAAAATTAGATTATTAATCTTAACCTTCCACAAAACAATGGTTGTTAACACCATTGCATGCATCTGCTAAAAGGGGATCATAATTCAAAGCCTGCACACAAATCTGATTCCAGTTTGTTAATCTCTTTTTTGGCTTTTAAGGTGCCACAAAACCTTATATCCACGGGCCAGAGATATGCAGGCTAAGACATTGATGAAGTTTGTGCATGATAAGGTTACTAAATGAAACCTCACAACTCAGAAGTAGTCTATGTCAACCCAGAGCGTATGAAAGTTGTTCTAGGTCTCACACTAGTAGGTTTTCCTTGTGAGAAAGAAGAAGCAAAGCTGTTTCTGCAAATTAGCTCACATGGTATGCACAAACATCATCCTTCATGAAAGAACTCAGACCTATGCATGTATGTGTGTGTGTGCTGCTGAGTCAATATGTTCTGTGGTTAACGCTTTGCTGGAAGCAAAGTGAAAGAGAAAATCAGAAAAACGTGCACAGCTCTCCATGAAAGTGCCTTGAGTGGAGAGACCATTGAGTTGAATCAGGCAAGGGAGGCCCTACTTGTCAGATCAGGTGTATCTGCCTCCCATCAGGAGCCAGGGGCAGACTTCTCTGCAAGGGACGATAGACCCCCGCAATAACCAGCACCTCTAGGAGGAGAGAAACACCCATCACTCAAGCTGGAAGAAACTGAATATGGTACAAGTTGTCATTGCAGTGGTGGTGATGGTGTGGTTGGCTGCACCAGAACTCTTGAGCGGTAAGTTTATCTCATTTGAGGGAAGACCAGAAAGCAATAAAGCCAGCCATGCTGATACAGAAACCATAGCTTCCTTTCATGCTTTCAAGTGTTCTTCCTTAATCTGCCATCTGCTATGAAATAGAAATGTGGGAGAACTGGACTGCATATAAATAAATACCTAAAATAAATTTAGAATAACTTTCTCATCTGCTTGGGAGTTTCCTTAAAAAGATATAGGGAGGAGGAATAAGGAGAATGCAAAACTCCTCGATTTAAAGTTTTGCCATCTTATCCGTTTTTCTGCATATCAGTGTTATTCAAATAAATCTGGGCAGCTAACTCAAATATGTAACTGTAAAAAGAGCAGAAATTTAGTAAACTTTCCATTCATTAAGTAAAGGGTTATAATCTGATGTTACGGTTTCTGCTTACTGTAGATATTATCTTTAGCTCTCTTTGGGGCTTTGGGGTGTGTGTGTATGTGTGTCTGTGTGTGCGCGTGCGCGTATGTGTGTCTGTGTGCATGTATTAACGTATTTTTAGTTTGCATTTTTGTGGATGTTGTTTGACAATTGGCCAAAGTGAGCTGTATTCTATGGGAAAAGCAGGATAAGGGTGGCCCTAAATAAATAACACCTTACATTACTACTTCCTAATTCCAAGATTTCCAGGAATATCATTCTTTGTCCTATGTTTGCAGATCCTGGCAATTGTGCTCCCCAGAATTTGATTTGCTACAAGCCCTGCTGTGAAGCATCCTTCCACTGTCTTATGAACTGCTCCTGGGAGACTGGATGTAAAGAAGATGTCAACTACATCCTCAACTTTAGGTGAATGCTGACCCAAGCCTGTTGATGCTCTGTTATAAATTTCCCTCTCCCTCCCTCTCTCCCTCCCTCCCTGATTTAGTGCATATATTGAAAATGACTCCATGGTACATTATATATATATATATACAGTATATCTGATCTGGTGGCCGTTGCTCCTGTTCCTGGCAACAAATTCCCTGCTTTAATTATGCATTGTGTTAAAAAAAAATACTTTTATTACTCCTGATTCCAGTCTATACTTGCTGATCTTGGATTCTTGGGACGGGGGTGAGGATGTATTTCTTTATTCACATTTTATAACTTTTTTCTCGCATCCTCCTGAGGCTAAAGAGCCATAAATACTTTTAAGGCAGTGCTGTGTTGAGTACATTGCCAACCTGTATTTAATTAATTTTCCCTGTTTAAAATTTTTATTAGTTTGTCAGAATTCAAAATGCAAAGAAAATGAGAATAATGGGAAACTAGAGGAGGAAAAAGGGGAAAGTGTGGGGTAGAAGGGGAAAAAGAAAAAAAAAGACCTTGATGTATTTAATTAATCTTTTGTAACTACAACCAGAACTTTCACATTCATCAGAAAGTGCAGCTGGTTTTCACATACTGAATAGTGCAAAAGCCCGTGTTTATAGTAAATAACCCTGAGTGGACTGGGGCCATTTCAATGTTCACCAGTGGTCCCATATAGAATCTTAAAACTTACCTATCTTTATAACTAGTCTTTTCCAAGCACTCATTATAGCAATATCATGCTCTGGATGCCTACCCAGAAAGAAATTGGAGGGTTGGGAGCTGAAGGTTGACCATTTCAAGCTTAGAGCCAGTTTGGTCTAGTGGTTAAGGCACTAGGCTACAAAGTGGGAGGCTGTGAGTTCTAGTCCCACCTTAGCCGTGTAAGACAGCTAGATGACCTTGGGCCAGTCACTTTTTCTCAGCCCAATTCATCTCACAAAGTTGTTGCTATGGAGAAAATAAGATAAAGAAGATATATTGGATAGGTTTGCCACCTTGAGTTGTTTATGAAAAAAAAAATAAAGACGGGATACAAATTTAAAAAAAAATAAAAATTCACTTCAGAAGCATTCTCTTCCCTCTGGCATGACTTAAAAGGTGCCCCTGCTTTGATGCTTCAAAGATGGCCAAACCAACCTTCTCTAAGAGAACATTCAAACACACTGGGTCTATTGGAGCTTTTAATAGTCTTGTCTATTATTCCATGAATGGATTTTTTGATTTTATTTCTATTATCGCTCATTTCTTGTAAACTGCTGAGAATTGGAAGCTAGGCTATACATCAGTTTTGCAAAAGAGGAAAACAAACCAGCATGATAAAGAAAGAAATTCTGACTGGGAAGTTTTTTTCTCCCACAATATAAGAGATTTTGTTGCCAGATGGCTACTTTTCTCAGGTTGCTATCGAAGCATTCCTTTTTCTTGCTTTAGTGCAGGGTTTCTCACCCTTGGCAACTTTAAGATGTGTGGACGTAAGCATGCCGGGGCCAGAGAACCCCAGGAGTTGAAGTCCATATTGTACATCTTAAAATACTGACTGAAGACAAGAGCTGTAACTCCGTGGTGAACAGATGACATTATCTAGTTTGGTAATGAAACGTCTGCAAGAAAACCACTAAACTAGGAGAGCACTAAGGACCCCACATTTTAAAGTTGTCAAGGTTGAGAAACACTGCTTTAATAGCTAATCAAACTTCTCTTTCCCCTTTCTCACCCACAGGGATCAAACAGAAGGGAAGAAAAAGACATTTGAGGTTGAAAAGGCCACCCACTTTATTTTTAGCACGGACACGTTCTACGCTCTAAGAAATGTTACTGTCTGGGTAGAAAGCGTGCCTAGGGACGGTCCTCCTCGGGTCTCAAAAAATCATACACTGCTGCTCAAGGAAGCCAGTAAGTTAAAAGAAGCCAAAACGTGAACTTCCTACAGCACGAAGTATCTCTCATTACAGTGTTTCTCAACTTTGGAAGTTTAAAGATGTGTGGACTTCAACTCCCAGAATTCCACAGCCAGCCTTACTGGCTGCAAAATTCTGGGAGTTGATGTCCACACACCTTCAAACTGCCAAGGCTGAGAAACACTGCCCTGCTGTATTCTAATGCTCTTGATTCTGCTTCTGGCCACATTTTGGGACAAACAGAAAGGGCAGCTTTAGGTGTTTTTTGGGGGGTGCATGTTGCAAGGTGAAAGGGAAAGTTTGGAAATTGGAATTTGGGAAATTCTACTTGTGAATGAGTTGTTGTGGGCATGGCCAGGGATGAACTAAAGAACTAAAACAGTTGCAAACCCCACAAGTCCAGCTTACCAGAAGACAAACTGTTGAGGTGGCTCCTTATTCACCTTTTCAGCTTATGGTGGGTAACATGATTCCAAAGACAGCAGCTAGGGATATCTAAGAGTTGAAAATAAGTACGATTCCGCTTCATTTTGGAACAATTTTTTATCATAGGTAGAGAAAATTGTGGGTATTATGAATTTCACTTTACCAACACAGACATTTTTGAATGCCAAGCTCAGACACTGCACCAGTGCGATCTTAGCACATCAGTGGAACTGGAAGGCTGGCTGGCTGTCCCTGGGTGATATTCATAATTGTTGTTCCTAAGCCCTCAATAAAAAGGATGGTGAAAATGAGCAGATGAGCTGAACTAAAATAAAAAAAACCCTAAGGGATTATGGGAGGGGAGAGAAAAATTAGTGTACAAAAATGACTGAAGGGGCCTAGTATCTTGTGTTTATAGTCTTGCACATCTGTCTCTTACTAAGTAGCCTCAGCTGTTGTCTTTTCATTCCAGTAAAATTTAATCCACCATCAGCCAAGTCTATCAGCATTTCTAGATCGAAAGGTATCCTGACCTTGAAATGGCCTGGATCCAGCACTTGTCGCTCTACACTAAACCAAGTCAGGATAAGTCAGTTCCACCATACAAACTGGACACTGGTAAGTTGTGTGTAAACATTCGAAACAATGGCCATGTTTGATGGTGTCCACCAAGCTTCTCTACCTAGGCAGGCAAGACTTGCTAGCTTTGGATTCAACCACCTCTATTCAACCACACAGCTAGAGGGATTTAAATTATTTAAAAGAAACAAGACTAAATAAAAGAGAAGGTGGAGTTGCTCTCTCTATAAGAGATAACTACATCTCTACAGAAATAGAGCACAACAATGATGAAAACTGTCTTGAATGCATTTGGGCCAATATAAAAAGGGGGGGGGGAAATGTGTATACTATAGGCTACCCAACCAAACAGAGGAAATAGATGAACTTTTTGCTAGTCAGTTAACTAAGATATGTAGGAAGCACATCACAATATTGATGGGGGACGGACTTCCGGTGGTTGAAGCGGTGGAGATGGCGGCTACTTTGTAGCCGTCCTCCTGAGAAGGTGTCAGATCCGCGGAGCACAGCGTTTACCAGCTGGCCCGCGGCTCGCAATCCCCTTCCCGGGCGAAGGGAAGGGGTAGAGATTGCATGAATAGAGGTAGAACCTCTTAACTCTCCCTGGATTTTTATTTTTAGGGGGAGAAAGAGGTTCCCTCGGAGTTCATTGCTTCTCCGCCTCTCAGCTGTCTTTGTTTCTTCAGAAACAAAGCGAGACGCCGCTACCATCTCCGAATATACAGAAACCGTGAGTAATCTTAAACCGGACAGAACTGTTTAAAGGATTTTATTTATAGTTTAGTTTTATTTTATTTTTTTTTTCTAGTTTATTTAGTTTATTTAGTTTGTGCTGATTTTTTTTTTATTTTTTCGAGCTTTCTTTTTTTTTTGGGCGGAAAAGTGAGAGTGAAAGTAAAATGGCGTTTTGAAACTTTTTTTTCTTTAGAAGACGGTTCGGCTGAATTGTTGTTTAATATTGCTTTTTTTTTACTTTATTCTATTTTATTTTATTTTTAATTTTTTCTTGGACTACTTATTTTTATTGGTACTTTTAAGAAGAAAGGAAGATAAATTAAAATGGCTTCAAAACGACAACCAGCTACTGCAGCCTCTAAAGTAACTTCTTCTCCTGCTACTTCTACTGTGCAGCAACAACTTAAAATAATACCTTCAGTGCAGCAACCTAAATCTACTCCACCTTCACCTCCCCCATCTGGCACATCAGCACAAGACATTAAAGAAATAATGGTAAGTGCTGTCTCACAGTTTAGGGAGGAAATGAAACAACGTTTGGATCAGAATAAATCTGAAACTAAGGAGGAAATGAAGAAAGAGATGAAGGAGCTTTTAGAACAGAATAATGCTATTTTGAGGGATGATATACTTTTAGCTTTATCTGGAATGGCCTCAGTGGTCGTGAAGCTGGACTCCAGAGTAGAGGAACTTGAAGAAACAGTTGAACTTCTGGATTATAAATTTCAAGATATGGAGAAAAAAGTGGAGGCTTCACAAGATGATATTCTTATGTTCCAGTACAGACAGATGGAATATGCTCTGAGAATAAGGGGTCTGAAAGAAGATAAAACTCAAGATTTGATGGAAATGGTGATTAATGACTTGGCTGTTATTTTGAATATTGATAAAGAAGAGTTACGTGGGGATGTGGAAAGAATTTATAGAGTCAACTCCTGGGTTGCAAAACAGAGGGATCTGCCTCGAGATGTGGTGATATATTTTGCTAAGAAGTCTTTGCGAAATCAGATTCTACAAACTTTTTATAATAAAAGATTTCAGATTGCTGCTCAAGATATTATTATTTTAAAGGAAATTCCACCTAAAATTTTAAGAACCAGACAAGATTTTGCTTTTTTAGTAAATGAACTTAAAGCAAGACAAATGCCATTTAGATGGGAGATTCCGATGGGCATTGTTTTGAGCCATGCGGGGACACGTTATAGACTCAATACAGTTGCTAAAGCTAAGGAATTCTATAAAACGGTCCTGGGAGCAGGCTCTCCTTTGCCCATGATGCAGAAAGTTTTGAGTGATAAAGAGGTGGAACAGAAATCTGAAGCTACAGGGATGATGACTGCTGGACAGGTGGCATGGATGTCTCAATCAGAGATTAAAGAACAGAGACTGACCCGTGCAGCACATAAACGTAAAGAAAAAGAACAACAGAAAAAAGAAAAGGAAAAAGAAATTGGAGAATCTACTCAGCAAATTGTTTCAGTGCCGGTGGGAGGAGCAAGATCCAAAAGCTCTGCTACATATTCATCAGCAGCAGAATTTGAGCGGATTTTCTCCAGGCTGAAGGCCAAGGGAGATGGCAAAGCTCCTGTCCTGGAATATTAATGGATTAAACACTCCTCAAAAGAGAAAAAAAATTTACCACTATTTGAAACAACATAACAATGACATCATTTGCTTGCAAGAAACTCATATTACAGCTAAAGACCCAAAATATTTAAATAATCCTCGCTTGGGATCTCATTTTGTATCTCCCGCCCCTGGGAAGAAAGGGGGTGTGGTAATCTACGTTAAACAGAATTTATCTGCTACCCTGTTAGAATCAGATCCTTACGGAAGATATGTTATGCTTGAACTTGGTTTATATGGTAAGAAAATCCTTATTGTGGGGTTGTATGCACCAAACCAGCAACAGGAGCAATTTTACAGGTTACTACATCAGAAAATAACTTTGTTGGATTATAGATCTGTGATTTTAATGGGAGACTGGAATGGTGTCTTAGACACACAAATGGATAAAAAAGGCTCTTCTACCTTTTTTAAACAGGTTAAACTACCTAAAGCCTTTTTCGATATGAAAGAAGATTGGGAATTGAGAGACTATTGGCGTGAACGTAATCAAGAAGAAAAGGATTTTACGTTTTTCTCAGATAGACATCAATCTTTTTCAAGAATTGATTTCTTTTTGATTACAACAGATTTATACAACAGGGTAAAGAATGTAAAAATTTTTCCTAGGACCCTGTCCGATCATAGTCCAGTTTGGATGGAACTGTTTGCAGAGAAGGAAGACAGGAGATCCTGGAGGGTGAATGAGAACTTATTTAAAAAAGAAAAAAATGTTCACAAATTAAAGGAATGTTTAAAGGAATATTTTACTTTAAATATGAATAAGGGAACATCAATGTCAATGGTGTGGGATGCACGTAAGGCTTTCATGCGTGGTATTTTGATAAAAATGAATAATTTGCATAGACAGGAACAGACTCAGAAACGGAAAGACTTGGAAGAGGAGATTAAATTAAAAGAGAAATCTTTAATTTCAAATCCCTCAGATGAGAAGGTTAAAGGAGCTTTAAAATTGTTAAAAACACAATTTAATATGCTGATGGCTGATCAAGCTGCAACCAATTTGCTATTTATGAAACAAAATACATTTTGTAATGCTAATAAACCAGGGAGATGGTTGGCCTATCAGTTAAGAAAAAAACAGAACCAGAGGAATATAGATAAAATAAATTATAATGGTAAATTGGTTTATCAGAAAGAATTGATTAAGAAATCTTTTTTAGAATATTATCAAAAATTATATAAGGGTTCTAATATTCAAACTACAGACATAAATAATTATTTAGGCAAAGTTAACTTTCCTAAATTAACAGAAGATCAGGGAAAAAAGATTAACGGTTTAATTACTAAGGAAGAAATTGTTACAGCTATTAAACAATTAAAATTGGGCAAAGCGCCGGGTACGGACGGGTTGACATCTATTTATTATAAAACTTTAGTAGAAGAGATGATTCAACCGTTGTGTGAACTGTTTAATAAGTTATTACAGGGGTTAGAAATCCCTCCATCCTGGCGTAATGCATTTATATCTCTGATTCCAAAAGATAGTCAGGATCTCACTTTGCCTAAAAATTATAGGCCTATATCTCTTTTAAATGTGGACTATAAAATTTTTGCAAAAATCTTAGCTAACAGGCTTATGGGGATCTTGCAGCAGCTTATACACAGGGATCAATCGGGTTTCATAACTGGAAGGTACATGAAGAATAATGTTAGACAAATTATTAACTTACTAGAGTATTTAGAAAAGAATAACCAAGTCCCTGCAGGTCTGATATTTTTGGATGCTGAAAAAGCCTTTGACCAAGTGAATTGGCAGTTTATGTTGTGTTTAATTAAGGAAATGAACTTCGGACAAAATATATTACAAGTATTATCCAACATATATCAAAAACAGACTGCTCAAATTATTGTAAATGGGGGTTTGTCAGAGGCTTTTGTAATAGAAAAGGGAACAAGACAGGGATGCCCGTTATCCCCGTTATTGTTTGTTTTAACATTGGAAATTTTGTTGATTAAAATTCGGGAGTCTCAAGAAATAAAAGGAATAGAAATTAATAAAAAAGAATATAAACTAAGAGCCTTTGCAGATGACTTGGTTGTTACTTTGTCTCAACCTGTTTCCTCGGTGGTGAAATTACTACAATTGATTCAACAATATGGATGTGTTTCTGGTTTTAAAATTAATAATAATAAGACTAAAATATTAGCTAAAAATATGACTAATGGTGATAAACAGGCTTTAGTTAACTTAACAGATTTTGAAATTGTTGATAAGGTAAAATATTTTGGGGTTACACTATCTGTTTCTAATGTAAAATTGTACAAAAATAACTATGAAAAGCTGTGGATGGAGGTACAGAAGGATTTAAAAAATTGGAATAATTTACAGTTATCCCTTTTGGGTAGAATTGCAGTTATTAAAATGAATGTCCTGCCAAAGTTTATTTTTCTATTTCAAATGCTACCTGTTTTAAAGAACGAACGTAACTTAGATGAATGGCAAAAAGGTATTAATAAATTTGTTTGGGCAGGGAAGAAACCAAGGGTGAAATTTAAAATAATGCAAGATTTTCGTGAGAGAGGTGGACTCAAGGTGCCAAATATGAAATTGTATTATGATGCTGTAGTACTGACTTTGATTAGCGACTGGGTGAATTTAACAAATATAGAAATACTTCATTTGGAAGGCTGGGACCTACTTTTTGGATGGCATGCCTATTTAATATTTAATAAAA